AGTTTTAGTATCCTTCCCTTCCGTTCACTGTGGTGCATATCACATTCATTTCCAAGTTTTATCAATCTTAAAGATGCATTTTGTTTTGATCAGGCTGTCAAAAAGGACTCATCCTTTGCAAGCAAGGTGAAAAGAGTGGTCATCCTTGGCGGATCTTTCTTTGCATTGGGAAATGTCAATCCTGCTGCCGAAGCAAATGTAAGTGCTCAGCTGGAATTAAAAATTTGGTCTGATCTCCACTCCCTTGCTCTTGTAAATAATCAGTTGCCGATAAAAAATCATCTTTGGGTCTTGCATTTGGTCACGGGTGATGCACCTGATTTTTGTGATTCCAAATTTTCCATATCAGAACTGCCCAAAGATCAAATTTTCTTAAATGACAAGCATAAAGAACCCCCTCCATCTGTTGTAAATAAATCAGTAGGCTGCTAGTCAAAACAAAAGTGAAGAGGCTGACTAGAGGTCAAAGGTTCATTAGAGAGTGGCAAAACACATCAGACACCAAGGACTTAAAGGACATCTGGGGAAGAGTCACAGTCGTCCATCCATTTGAGAGAGAGAGAGAGAGAGAGAGATCTTTGAAAGGGTGTGATGCAGGGGAAGCTTATGTTGCAAAATGTACTTCTATTTATAGAAGGTTAGGCATGTGACCATAATTAACTATCAAGATTTCCTAGAATTCTGTTAGGATTTGGTAGAAATATATTTAATTATTAGGATTTGTCCAAATCTCAATTACCGAGGTCCCATACATAGTTTTTTGTGATGCGGTCTCTCTCTCGACAGTACATTAGAATTAAATATAAGTTACCCATTAAAAAAATTATTTTTAGCGTAAAAGATAAATAAATATATTTTTATTTTATATTTTCTCCAATGACATAACAACTAAAATTTCTAATTCACAATTACATATTGAAATTTATTTAAAATTTGTTAAAATCAAAAGTAAATTGGAGAATGAAATGGAATTTTTTTGAAGAGTAGCATTGACCTCTTTTCCCGAACCTGCCCGTATTAGGCTCTTCCTCTAAATCATTTTACTCCCCTTCTTAACCACTTGTAACTTCCGTTTCTAGTTCCCTTCTCAGTCATATTTTTGTATTCCCCTTCACTTAGCTACTTTTACAATTTCTAACCTTACAATCAATCTCTAACTGAACCTTGTTAGAATCCACCATATTCTTTAATGCTTTTTGCAATGCTTTTTGCATGTTTTTACTTTTAAAATATCTCATCTTCGTTATGGTTGCAAAAATATTCACAACAAAATTCAATAAATAACAATCTTTTTTAAAAAATACAATTCCAAACATTATTGGATGGTTAAATGTTAATATATATATATATATTTTTTTGACAATCAATCATATTTGGCCTCTTACATTTTTAGTAAGATTGTTAGTATGTATATAATTATTCATAAATAAAAATAAGGGACACTTACGTATACGTTCTAATAGATGAATTTATTGTCCAATAGGTCCTATGAAAATTAATGACATTTTTCATCAAAAACTATTAAAAAGCGTTACTAATTGTTAATTTTCAGCAAAAGTTTGAAAATTTGATCACAAAAAATGTCACTAATTATGAGTTTTAGTGACAGTTTAAAAAAATAGTCACAAAAAGTCACTAATTTTCAACTTTCACCGAACAATTTGAAAAATTCATCACAAAAAAGTGTTATTAATTGTAAGTTTTAGCGACAATTTATCAAAATCGACATATACAAAAAATCACTACAAAAATTATTTTTAGTAACGATTTTATTAGGACTTATTTTCAATAAGACTTGATGGAAATTAAATCCAACTATTAGGACTTATTGGTAGGTCGCAACAACCAAATTCACGCAAAAATAATGAAATATATATATATAAATATATGTGCAATCTGTTTCCTGAGTTCACAAATTTTGTTAATTTTTCAATTTAAAACACATATAGGCTAACAATTAAATTTGGGGGAAATTAGTCAAGGGTCCCTCTCCCACTTTTCGTAATGGAAGAGATCCACAAAATTATTTTTTGATGTTTAAGATCCCTGAACATATCACAGAGAAATTTGACCTTACCAAATCAAAACTCATGTCTCTCTCTCTCTCTCTAAACTTCTCCATTCTCAGACCCGTCCAGATCAACTCTTGTTCCTCACCCCTGACTTCATTCTCCAGCCGATTGAGCTCTATGATCTATATATATATTGTGGGTGTGATCTGATGTGGACGGCTCTATGATCTTGTGCTCTTTTTCTCTCCTCTTCATCGTATTCTATCTATTCTGTTACTCATCAATGGAAGTTAGAGTTTAACACTGGCGAAGATGGAGTCAAAGGAGGTGCGAGGTGGGAGCATGATCAGAGCATTCTCATTCTGATTCGGATTGTCCTTTTGTTACTCCAATCCTAGAGCCGCAGCCGTAGCCGCAGTCGCAGCAGCAGCAGAGAGCCCCCAAGAAGAGGGAGAGAAGCATCGTCTCTGATCGGAATTGTGGCGCAGTGAAGCTGATAGATGAAGATTAATCAAATCAGATTCCATTTCACACACCAAATAAAAGTCAGCCTCTCTGCAGATTAGAAGATTCAATAGAGCTCTAATGAGGTTGTAGATATATATATATATAGAGAGAGAGAGATGGTTTGGGGTCGTGGTGAAGAAAACATGGCACTCCCATCGCAGATTCAAAATGGTGACACAACACTCGATTCAGGCCATGCTCGCCTCGACCAACTCGGCTACAAACAAGAACTCAAGCGCGATCCTCAGTAAGTCAGAGAAATTCTGATACTATGAATTCACTCAATAAGATGGAGAATTCTGTTAGAGTATCTCTTAAGAATCTTGGAGTGTCATACTTGGATCTCTATTTGATGTATGGGCCTGAGAGCTCGGCATTTGGAGATGCTACTGATCCTCCTACTAAGTTAGGGAGTGAGTATAGGCAGTTTCTGAATCGGTTCAAGACTACATGGAAAGCAATGGAAGGTCTGGTGGAGTTGGGTCTAGTTCGAGCCATTGGCATTAGCCATTTTAATATAGAGCAGATCAAAGAATTGCTTAAGTTTGCAAAAATGGTTCCAGTAGTCAATCAGGTTAACTCTTTATTCTTGGATTTTTGAATTGTGATTTTAGTTGATTTTGATTTACAACTTTTATTTTTAATTAATGTATTATGAACTCTAATCAGTAGTGGTGACTCTAGGAATTTTGTTTGCGGTGGCATTCAAATTATTTTTTGGGTATTGTTTTCATTTTCATGTTTTGTGAACAAAATGATGAAAAGTTTGATAACAGTCATTGTAATGAAGATTTGGGTCTACCAGAGAAATTCTCTGGTTTTTAAACTGAATTTTCTCTGGGTTGAAACCAGAGAATCAGATAAATTCTCTGGTTTTTAAATTGAATTTTCGCTTCTGCAACTTGTCTCATTGTCTTGGCTTTTCTCCAAACTTACTACACTATCGTCTCCTCAACCAAACCATAAATAAAGTAAGACCATTTGTTTTCCTGAGTGCTATTTGCTTTCATGTCTCCAGGTTAGTTGGGTCTCTTCTATTTGTTCTCTAGGTATCAACATTTGTTTAACCCCTCTCTCTCTTTCTCTATTTAATGTGTTTGTGTGTGCATTGTTTTTCTCTGGTTTGGAGTCCAGAGAAATTCTAGAAATTTCTCTGGAAGAAAACTAAAGAAATTTGCAAATCAGAGAAATTTGAAGAGAATTGGACCAGAGAAATTCAAAATTTCTCTAGACTCAGCCAATGCATTAGAGAAATGCTGAGAAATTGTAGGAAGAATTGGGCCAGAGAAATTCTGAGAAATTCAGAATTGCTGTAGACTTTCCAGAGAAATTTGGTCCAGAGAAAATTTTAAATTTCTCTGGACCAAATTTCTCTGGACTGAAATTTCTCTGGAGTGAAATTTCTCTGGATCAAGGTTGAGGGACCTTAGACATTGTGAAAATATTGTTGAGGGACCTTAGACATTATGAAAATATTTGGTGTCCTTTATGCTATAAAATCATAATATCAGGGACCTTAAAAAAAAAGCCCCTTAAATTTGTTAATGCTTAGATTTAAAACAAATTTGTTACCTAAAAAGCAATCTAAGAGGGGGGATAAATTGGATTTCTATAAATAAAAATTAATAATACCCCAATAAAAATTGCAACTAGTGCAACAAATAATTAACGGAAGATAGATGATGAATAACAGTTAATGATTAAGCACAATGAAGAACTTAACAGTGAAGTAGCTAAACAAAAATGCAGTGAATGATTTTTAACTTAACAGATTATGATTTAGATAAATAAGCCATTATAACTCTAACACTCCATGAATGAAGAGTATCAGATGGCAATATGAGGTGAGAGAAGAGATTTGATGATTAGCACAAAAATAATAAATACTATAACAGCTATATCAGTAACACAATGAGTATATCAGATAGTTATAGTAGTTGAGGAATAAAAGAGATTAGGGAAGATGAGGCAAATAAATTTATTATGGTTGAGCTTCAACCAAGCTTACATCCACTCCTCAAGCTTCACTTGAGATTTTTCATTATCTTCTATCTTTACAGGGTTGCTAGCAACCTCTTCACAAATGGAGTAATCTTTCACAGATTTTACACCGACTTTCCAAGTCCAAAAACTTGCAAATCTTAGGTGATTCACAATTACTTTCAAGGAATCATGAACACTAAATGTACGGCACTCTTACAAGATTGAATGATAGATTTTTGTTGCACGAGGTGCTTGTTTCAAACCCTATAAGGCTTTTAAGAGTTTAAACACATGATTTGAAAAAGCATGATTTTCAAAACCAAGAGATTGTTTAACATATACTTCTTCATTTATTAAACCATGTAAAAATGCACTTTTTACATCCATTTAATAAAGTTTGAAATCTCTAAAACATGCAAATGCAAGTAACATGCAAATGGCTTCTAATCTAGCAACCGGAGAAAAAGGTTTTATCGAAATCAATACATTCTTCTTGATTGTACCTTTGTGTTACAAGTCTAGCTTTATTTCTAATAATGGTACTGGATTCATCAAGTTTGTTTCCAAAGATCCATTTTGTTCCATTAATGGAATGATCTTTAGGCCTTGGCACTAAATTCCAAACGTTGTTTCTCTCAAATTGGTTGAGCTCTTCATATATAGCCATCATCCAATGTTCATCGAATTTGGCTTCTGGAAAATTCTTTAGCTCAATCTATGAAAGAAAAGCTAAGTTACCATAAATATTTATAAATGAAGAGCGAGTAGCAACACCTTTGGTGGGTTCACCTAGGATTAAATACTTAGGATGATTATGAACAAACTTCCATTCTTGTGGCAAATTATCGTTGTTTCCACCTTCTTCTTGAGGAGGGAGAATAGGTTATTCATCTTCTTTGTTCACTTCGCATGGTTGGTCATTTTGTTTGTAGATGCTTGAATCTTCCATATTTGTTTCCAATTCTACAAAATCATTACTAACAACTTGCTTTGGGGACGAAATGTTGGTTTCATCAAACACAACATGTATAGACTCTTCAACAACAAGAGTTCTTTTATTAAAAACACGATAAGCTTTACTAGACAAAGAGTAATCAAGAAAAATTGCTTTATCGTATTTTGTATCAAATTGACCCAAATTGTCCTTACCATTATTGTGCACATAACATTTATAACCAAATACATGCAAGTGACTAATGTTAGGCTTTCTACCATTCCAAATTTCATAAGGAGTCTTTTTGAGAATTGGTTGAATCAAGGCACAATTTAAAGTATAACAAGCGGTGTGAATGGCCTCGGCCCAAAAATATTTAGGAAGGTTATTTTCGCAAAGCATAGTTTTACTCATTTCTTCTAAGGTTCTATTCTTCCTTTCTACTACACCATTTTATTGAGGGGTTCTAGGTGCTGAAAAATTATGCCTAATACTATGCTCATCACAAAATAATTCAAAATTTTCATTTTCAAATTCTCTACCATGGTCGGTTAGAATATTAGTAATAAGAAAACATTTTTCATTTTGAATTTTGCGACACAATTTTGTGAAAGAAGAAAAGGTTTCATCTTTGTGTGCTAAAAACATAACCTATGTAAATCTTGAAAAATCATCAACAACAATAAGACAATAATGTTTATCACCAAGACTAGATGTCCTTGAGGGACCAAATAAATCAATATGCAATAATTGTAAATGTCTAGTGGTGGAAATATGAGATTTTGATTTAAAAGAAGTTTTAGTTTGTTTTCCTTGTTGACAAGCACCACAGAGTCGATCTTTTTCAAATTTAATTTTTGGAAGTCCAACGACCAAATCTTTTCTCAAAATTTTAGCAATTAAATCCATATGAGCGTGACCAAGTCTTCTATGTCATAACAACTACTGTCATTATTAGTATATAAACATTTAACATCACTAGCATAGAGATCATTGAGATGAAAAACATAAACATTATCAAGGTGATTATCAACAAATAGTGCTTTGTGATCAATTGTGCAATGTGATTTATCAAAAATAACTCGATTTCTCTTATCACATAATTAGCTAATAGTAAGTAAATTATGCTAAAGTCCATCTACAAGGAGAACATTTTCAATAGAAGAGTTAGGAGAGATACCGATACTACCAATACCAATAATTTTTCCTTTCTTATTGTCTTCGAAGGTGACAAATGGATGATAGAGTGGTGAAGAAAGATTTGTCTCCGGTCATGTGTCTAGAGCATCCACAATCAACATACCACCTTCTTTTTTTAGCTTTGGACTTAAGGTATACCTACAATAAGCCAATCAAATGTTGGATTTTAGTACCTATGATTTCTTGGGTCCTCTTGGTTAGTGCGGTTAGTACCTTTTACAATCCAAATCTTTTTAATTCCCATGTTCATATTCTTATTGAATAGACAAGAAGAAATATAATGGTCTTTCTTCCTACAATAATGACAAGTAATATGAAGGTGTGTCATAGGAGGTACTTTTTCAAAAGTTGTTTTGAGATTCTTTTGTTTCTTAAAAGGGTCATATCCAAGAAGTTTGTTGAGATTATCTATTTCTTTTACAAAATTTTCAAGAGTTTTATTTAAATCATCAACATTGTTTTTCAAAACAATTTTCTCACTAGAAATGGTGTTAAGGTCATTTTTCAAAATAAGGTTCTCTTTCTTCAATTCATTCACATTGTTAGATAAAGATGCAACTAATTTACTTAACACATTATTTTTGGTACATACTTTTCTAAACTCATCGTGTAATTCATTGAAAGCACTCTCAAGTTCTTCATAATTAAAAGTTACCTTATCTTGAGTGGATTCTTCTTGTCCTAGAGCCATGAGACACAAGTTTGATACTTCATCATTTTCAGCTTCATCATTTGAACTATCATCATCACTCTCTCCCCAAGCTGCTATGGTGGCCTTCTTGTTTCTTTTGTGGTCTTTTCTAGGTTTCTTCAATTTTGGACAATCCATTTTAATGTGTCCCAGATTTTTGCACTCATAATAAATGATAGGTTCTTTCTTTTGGATGTCATCTTTGTTGTACTCTTTCTTGAAAGGTCTTCGCCTTCCATGATTGTTTTTCTTGTAGTACTTCTTGAGATTTCTACTGAACATAGCATAAGCTTCATCTTCACTAGAATTTTCATTTTCTTCTTCATAAGATGAGGCTTTGAAAGCAATTTCATCATTCTTTTTATCCTCATCATTCTCATGCTTTTTCATAGTGATTTCATGAGTCATAAGAGAACCAATGAGCTCATCTAATCCAAGAGTTGTGAAGT